CTTTAAATTACGTGATATAATACTTTTTTTTAATTCACTTTATATGTTTTTGAGAGATTTTTATGTATCTATTTTATGTCTATTATTTTTTATTACCTATAATTTTTTTGCTTAATTTTTAGTGAATTTTATACAGGTTTTTCACGATTTGAGTTTGCGCAAAGCAACTGAAAAAGAAGACTTTTTTGATTGTTCCTCGAATTTTAATGTGCATCCGAAAAAAGCCGTTTTACGAGTCTTTTTATCAAATAAAAAGCAGGTGCTTAATTCTAAATTTAAGCGAGATTTTTTTCAGTGAAATTTTAGTCAAATTCCACGCATTTGTGCGTTGGCGATTATTATAAACTAAACTCTCGTTTTGTGTTCCTCATTCGTGAATCACAAGAGATTCCTTCGAAAACAAAACGCTTGTTTTTTGAATTTTTTTGAAAGCATCAATTCCTCTTCGGCGTTGGGAAACGGGATTATTCTTTTTATATCCTCTCGTCTATCATCATACGATCTTTTTCGACCGGCGGTCCATCGAAAGGAAGCTTCAAGAGAAATCCGGTTTAAATTTAGAACTTCCCCTTCGATAACATACGCAAAAAACGAAGGAAATATTGTTTTCACAGAAAATATCGAATCCGTCGAAATGAGCATGTCTTTGCGCTTTATTTTCGCATGTGCGCATTATTAATTATAGAATTTTAGGCTAAATTTAAATGCTATAAAATTATTTTAAGTACTATTTGTATTTGTTTTAAAGGTTGTCCTTGGTAAACTATAAATAAATTGCAACAGCATGGGAAAATTATCAGGAAGTCTTTCGATGAACGTTTAAATTACTTAATTCCTTTAAATATATTTAAAAAAAATGCTCAAAAAAAGTGATGTACTGCCAAAGGATGTTTCATATAGGTCGATTTCAACTACATATTCCAAGGATAAGTTCTGTATTATTTGAGTAAAACTCTATTATAGGAGCCCCTTTGTTGTATATGACATTTTTTATTTTTCGATGTCTCCTATTTGCTCGATTGGTTTCAAGTTCATCCACCTTGACCGAGTAAACATCCACCTGTTTCGCGCTCCTGCCGTTATCTGGATTTTCGACAGAGAAAAAAACACGAATGTTTTTTTCCAAAGGCGTCAACGAATAATTGGGGTCAACGCCTGGAAATCAAATAAAATCCCCGAATAAATCCAATACTGCGAATAAAGAGCCCGGGCGCTTGTTTCGCTACCATTCAACAAATATCGCCCCGTCGAATTTGTAACAATGCATTATAAAATTTCCGATTAGTAAACACGTTCATTAACGGTTGGATAATTCGTAGCGAATGGAAATTGGGAAGCCAGTTTCGCTTCTATTTAAATTCGAGTAATAAGAGTAGGTGGGATATTTTTCTGGAATCGGTCGAGGAATTTGTACGAACTTATATCCATCGGGGATTTTCCCGTCAGATAATTAAAACAGGAGTCTCAAAATCGTTTGAAATATAACATAAACTTCAATATGGCCTTTGCGCCGTGTTGCGTTAGGTCAACGACATTGACTCGTTATTTTCTGAAATATTATCTGCAGAAAAATAAAGCGATAAAAATTACAGTGAAATAATCCTGGAAGATTCCTCGAATTACGTTGATAATTCCTTTAACTGGTTTCATTAAAAAATCGCTTAAGTGACCTTTTCAAATATATTAAGTACTTTTTTGGGCAGTTAAATGACTCTTAATTTGGTGATGTATAAACCACTTTCTTTAGTAGATAAATGACCTTATTTGGTAGATAAATAACTCTTTTTAGTAGACGCAAATAATCCACTTTCATGGACATATGTAAGTTTCTTAGGTAGACTAACCACTCTCTTTGGTAGACCAATGACTTACTTTAATAAAAAATACCACATTCATTTTAGTAGATAATTTCTTTATAAAAGTGACTCTTTTTAGCAGACTTTTTCGGTGGATCAACCTCTTTCATTAGTAGATAAATGACTCTCTTTAGTAGACTTTCATTGGCAACTCTTTTACGTATGTAAATTGGTACACCTTCAAGTATTTACAAATGTTACAAGAAATGATGTAACCAAATTATACCCTTTTAATTCCACAGTTCTTTAGAAAACACCCTGTATTTCATCCATATGTTCACAAATCAATTATATCACTGCGATTACAGTTAAAGTGCGTTGAAGATTGCTTCCCGGTGAAATTCAATATAACATTCTTTTGACGTCAAAATAAAGCCGTAGGTATTTCGTTACAATTTATCAATGTATAAGTACGTATATCGCTGGAGAATCGGATAAGAGGTTTTTATATTATTCATTATTGTTTTGCGTCATTGAAGTAGAAATAGAGCGAATGTTTCGGACAGCTTTTATCTGGCGGTAAATACATTCCAGTTAATTTGCTTCGATTTTATTAGGATATTTTCAGTATTTCAGATGCAAATTATAAAACAAAAAAGAATGTGACTTCTACAAATCTCAATTCTTCAATTACTAACATCTAAAAGTTCCTATTTACAAAATTGTTCGAGGAGACTCCAATTTTAATAGTTCCTAATAAATTGTCATTCGAACGAAAGTAGGTGAAATGTCTAGGTGTAACTGACCTTAAACAATCGGGAAAGCCGTTCCAATGCCTCAAAATGATTAATTTGCCACTTCGTTTCCCCGTTTTCTGGGTCGAGGTGCGGGAAAAATCGATTGATCTGCGAGATCGAATGATCCTTGTCGATGCGATTAAATGACGCGAATAATTGGAGGGAATCGAATTCGAAGGATGGCTCGGAAGGGTAGTCGCTTGAAATATTACTATGGCGACTTTATATATTATTTCCTCTTATTAGAGACACGATTTCGACCTAGTTTCTAGTACTTTGATGTCGATTTTAATAATTAGAAATAGAAAAAACGTCGCAAATAGCGGAAAATTGCGCGACGAAGAAGGACGAGGTTAAAGAAACTGAGTGGATGTAAGTAGGAAATGACAATCGGAAAAATTTAAGGGATGATTCTCGAGGTTATTTATGTAGGGTACACCTGTACAATAACGTATCTACCCTACATTCAAAGGCGATATTATTATGTATTATTATGAAATGAAGCCTGCAATTGATACGTTCGCGTATCTACCTGTCCGTAGCAGATATCGTTTGAGTTGCGAGAAGCGGTTATAGACTTAAATGAAATTAAAATGAGAGTTTCTTGGAGAAATATGTAGGTAGGTGTACACTTGCAACAAAATTTCGTGTTTTATGAAACAACGCTAATATGATGTAAGTAAACAAGACATTATAAAAAATGTATACAATAGGAAAAATAGGTAAGTGATGCGCGGAAATTGGTATATAAAATACATTAGTGAAATTCTGATTTTTTAAAGCCTCTCAAAGAATATATCAAACGTTGAATTGTGAGAATAACAACTGTTCGTTAGGGTTTCTTTGCGTAACATATAATATTCTATATACGCAACCCGAGTCAAAAAAAGGTTTGATTGATTTTGCAAGTCTTCTTATTTTCATCAAAATGATGCGTAGTTTTTTTTTCTCCGAAATGTAACAATGAAGAAATAATTGAATACTTATTTCTCCTTTAATGTAAATTTCTCAAATATTTTTTACTACATGCACGTATACATTTTTTGTTTAATATCTAATATATGAAACAAAAATAACATTTATACTTATTAAAATCTAGAAGAAAAATTCCCTCAAAATAAAAACGTGCCATTTGCATAAAGCAACAACTAATAAATGAATTAATTAATAAAACAATTCTAATTATACAGTTAATTTATACAATACATTTGATCGACACAAAGATTTGTGTAACATTTTCATTTATATAAGATTCCACGGCGAGTGATTTTATTGTGGATTTTTAGAACAATGCATGCAGCTTTTGTAACGATCCAATTAATTCCGGAAAAAACAACTCCACCTTCATAACAGACACCAGAACCGTATTTATCGCTTTCGAAAATAAATATTCACTCTAATTTTCGAACAATAAACGCCTGAATATATTAAAAAATAATAAACAGAGGATGTTAATCATGAGTGTACTAGTTAATAAATATGTTGTTTTAGTTTAATTTAGATTCTCGTTTTTTATTGGCAAATAATAAGAGGAAAATATTGTCCAGTACCTACTTTAGTTGAACGACTCTGTAGTAAAATTTATTAACGGAATTTAGAAGATATAGGAAAAGCGTGAGAAAATATTCTCAATATTATGAAAATATACTGACCTTGATATTTTCTTAACACCGGTAGTTTTTATTGCGCTTTAAAAGTTCTAAATTAAGCTAAGCTGCATTCGCATTTTCATAGAAATTTTCATTAGAATTCTATAAATCGACCAAAATTTATCTCATAATTATGTTGTCATATGATTAATTATTTATTAACGAATAAATAGATGTTATTTTTGATTTATAAGAATATTTCACAACAATGGGTCACTATTTTATAAAGTGAATATGGACTCAATTTTAGCTTAAGTATTTCAGATTAGCATTAGTTAGTTTTTCACAACATTTATTTCCTAATTAATAATTTTTGGCTAATATTCAATACATTTTTTGAGTACCTACTCAAAAGAAACTTCATGATCACCCTGTATGTACATCCCAAAAAATAAATCATTGGCATATAATACTACTTCCAGAATTTATTTCGGCTATAACTAAATTTACGCCTACTGCACGGCAATTAAATCGCAAATAAAAAAGGTATAAAATGCCCGACAATTTATTTCCTTCGAAACTATTTAGTCAAACAACGGGATGAATTCTCGCTTGCATTTCGTCCCGCATACTTCCAAGAATATTCCCCGAAATTCCTCGGGATTTAGCCGGCGTACCTACGCGTGCGAATAGTGGCCGGATAATCTAGAAGGAAGAGCCCCCCCGCCTCACCTTGACATATGCACCGACGCCGTTTCCATGGCGACGCGAACTGCGTTATAAATACGGGCGTCGCGACGCACGGTTCATTCAGTAAACTTTCGACGCCTTGCGCTCCCTATCGACCGGTCCCCAGTTACAGGTGGTTTTTTTTTGCATTGAGTGCCCCAATCATTAATACTACACCGAAAAGGTTGTTCGAACTTTTTTCTAAGGACACTAATACCGTTTTAAAACTGTTGAAAATTATTTTCTGTGCCGTGCCCGTTGGGGTTATCACCCAATTTCTCGAGGTAAGATTTTATTTTTTCGTTGGTTAATAGTAATTAAAAGTGATAGATGTATAGCGGGTTTTAAAGTCAATTGAAAGGGTATTAAGATAACTTCAACAAAACAGATCTCCTATGGTTCACATACATAAATGTATTTATAAAATGAGTAAAAAGTTTGTAATGAGTGTTGATTAATGTCAATAAAATATAAAAAAATTGTATTTTAATTGATTTTGGAAATGTAAATGCATGACATTGTAATATGTATTTTTTATTAAGGAAAGATTATTATTAATATAGGTATTTTTTATATTTAAAGGTATAAAGTTCATTTTTATGCGTACCCAAACTTACATTATTTACTTATAAACATAATTAAAAAATACTCATTTAAAAAATGAAATTCTTCAATTAAAAAATATTTTCTCAATAAACTTCATTTTTCAATATATTCCTTGAATACGCTTTTGACGAGAATTAGTGGATTTTCAAAAATGAAGTAGGTATTTCCAAATATTTAATAATCTCATAAATTATGTTTCATGCCAAATTTAATATTGCTTTTATTGTACCATAACTATTTTCGCATTTTCCGATAATTAGAAAGGCGAAAGTTTTTATTTATAATATTAGAATTGGGTTAATGTTTATCCTGAAAAAATTTATGATTGTTAGCCCAAAATATTTTCTAAACTAATGCTGTAATTACTAATTGCTTTTCTTAGAAATGTTTCTCCCCGCTCGTCCACACCGATGGACATTTTCCAAATATTTAACTATCCAGATTTTTGTTTATTTTTATTGGTTTTGAGTTTAAAATAATCGATCGATCGGTAAAAAGTCGTTGATTAGAAGCGGTTATAGGTATAGGTATATTTATACAAGTTTATTTCGAAGGTTTATTATTCGGTAATGCATGCATGCGTAGAAAAGTTATTTTGCGCAAAATCGATTTTAGTCATTTCTACATTTAGTAAAATCGTAAAAATATAATTTACGTCTTTATTAGAAGTTTATTACTCATTTGCTAAATTTACTTGCTAATTTAAACACAATTTTCGGTACCAATAGATCGATCGATTTTCCTGTTTTTCCAAACTAAAAATAAATAACAATGATTCATTGAGAAAAAATTAATTTAACGATCGCGAATCATCCCGGTAATCCTTCCTGCCTTGAACAAATTTATAACGAGATTTTAATCCATCCGATATTTGCAGATTTGTTAGACAATAACAACCTTTTTTTTTTAATCATACTCCCGTATTAATTGATTGTGCTTTTGCATCATCAATACGGCTAATAAATATTTGTTCCCATTATATTTTACGTACATATACTGTATTTCAGTTTTAAATCAATCCCTACGTAGTAAACATAACTGTTATTTACTCGGATTTACAAAGATAAATATTCATTAACCATTAGTAAAACAACGTAGATTCGTAATTATGTCATAACCAATTTTGGATTTTATTTCGCTCCGAGATAAAATTCCTTCGACTTGGATTCCTATTCCACCTAGAGAAACTATACGAATTCCAAAACCTAAAGCTTCTATTTTTACATCCGAGCTTTGGCCAACGTTAGACACCGGAGATTGTGTAGCGTCGCGCGTCGCGATGCCCGGCATCGTTGTCGTCGTATTTTCATTCCTGTCGCCGTAATGATATGGATTATGGGTATAGCTCGTCGAATTTATAGCGCCCAATAGTACGTGGGCTCCCAAAATGTTCCGTTTGCATCCTCGAATACAGGGTGCGTAAGATATTTAGTATACCTATTGTACAGGGGATGAATGTGATATACAGAAATTTGAAAAATTGTATTGTCATTTTAAAGTTAAGTTGTAATTCCTCTTGTAGTTACAAAATAAATTGGAATATAGTCGCTTGCATCGTGTGGGAAAGTTTAAATTCCAGCAATGTGAAAAATTGTCGCATATTTACCGCGCGTTTCTTCGTTCGGTGAATCCGAAAAATTAAAAATTCCCGAGGAATCGAACAAAGGAATTTGTGGCGTCTACATATATTTTTTAATATGCGAGATACATGTTAGCCGGCGCCAAAAACTCTCAAAATAAATCGGGAGAAAAATGTTTTGAAACGCTGACGACACATTGACAGGACACGCACACGCGCGCTTATTCGAATAAGCGGTTTTTAATCCCCCCCGAGAAGTTTTCCTGCATTCTCTAAACGCGAACACGATGAGCCAAAATTTCTAAAGCCTCATCAATCATCAATACAACTATAAGTGTTGTATTCAAAAATGTATATCCCAGTATGGGAAGAATAACGGTTCCTTCTGCATACGTAAATCTTTGTGTATCGTTTAAAACGCAAACAATCAATGAGTCATCACTATTGTGACATTATGTTATCGATGGAAAAGTATTTTTAGTGTCTAATAAAGCCGGAGAAAAGGAAAACGGAGAATGATCGGTGACGAAACGAATATGCGAAGCGGTATCCGATTAATCCGGCCATTCGATAGAACGAAAACAAGGAAGCCGCGCGAAGATAGAGTTTCCTGATTTCTGTTCTGATTAGTGTTACGTATATTGCGAAAAAATCCGTTGAAAGAAAAATCGACGATGTATATATTTTCGTGGTTCGGGCGCATTCCGAGAATTTCCGGCATTCTTGACTGACAATTGGAATTGGGAATTTCGATGGGAAATGTGTATTAAATTGCTTTCCTATACCGGTTGTCCTCTTATTTTAACGTAAGGATACCTTTTTTTATTTTACATATTTCATCCTGAATTTGTTTTTAAATTAAGATATTTAATTCGGATGGCAAATGATTAATTCGCTAACACCCAAAAAAGTGTTGATCATTCTTGTTTATTTACACCAACGTGAATATTATTTCAACAAATAATTAATCTATTATCATATTGAGGAAAACCAATAAATTTTCAATTAATATTTGAACAAGCACTACCTTATCTATTGACGATTAACATTAGAGATTACGTTAACGCACCGAAACAAGAAATCAAAATATTGATTGATTATGTCCGTAATATAGAAATTTTCCGAGTAAAATGTAACGCCATTTCTCCTGTCACGTGCGAAAAACGTGCGCTCCTTTCGCTTTTCATTCGGATTTATCTATGTTAACAATAGATCTACTTGTGATCGAGGGAAAATTTTCAAACCGAACAATTCCCAACGTTTATCTCGGAAGCTACAATGGAAAAAACACGCCCCGCACGTGATGGAAATTTTTATTCTACACGCTCGTGTTATTAATTCTTCCCAAGGAAACATTGAAATGACAGTTTTATGAACGCATCCAATATTACAATCTGCAAATTCTTACAATTAATTTTTGTTGCAGAAAATGAAGACGGAAGACAAGAATAATATGCCCAAGGTTCGGATAGCAGTCATAGGAAAATCGAACGTCGGAAAATCAGGTAATAAAAACCGCCGTGATTATCGAAAGAGAAAGAATGTACCGGGCAATAAATTCGTCTTCGTACCTCGACCTATTTGCTCTTCTGGGTTTATGAGTACAATGTCTGTCGTTTTTAATTCACCACCGGCAATGCAGGTGACCCAAATCGCTTCGGAAACGGGGTTAAGGTTTGTCCTATCTCTCGCCCGCAATTTATCCGCTCGATGAAAACGAAACGGGAATTTTCTATCGCATTTATCCCTAATGATTGTTGTTACATCGCCAATTATTCATTCGGCTTCATTTAGCCGTATAAAATAATTCGTTTTTATTAATTCGACCGTCATTATTCCTACTTTTTTGAATCCTGTTAATAGGAAATAGTAAGTTTTGAAGGATCGATTTTAATAGGAAATTCAAATAAATTATGTAGTAATTATAATAGGTATCTACTATTGCCAAATAAATTTAACAGACAGTTTAAACACCCTAAATCTTATAAACTAGCCTGCATTAATTATCGTCTTATTTTATTATCCATTTGAAAATATGAGTTGTGGTAGCTCCATATCTTTTGGTCAAATACCCGTGCCGTATGGTTGCCAAAAATTAATAACCACTTTTCATACCGGGCGAGTCGAAAAATTGCAACACTATATTCAAGAAAACACATTCGTCATGTAACCGATTCTATTTTCGTTTTCCAGCGCTAACAGTCAGATATTTAACGAGGCGTTTCATCGGCGAGTACAGGAGCAATACAGGTGAGTTGTGTCTAGGATTAATTGATTTTTTTTTCAAATTCTTCTCCGCCTTTAAAACATTATTTTTGTAGTGCATGATTCACGTACGTTTAAAATGTTTGTTATTTAGCAGTGAGTGAAACTCGTAATAATATTTGAATTATTATTAATTACATTGTGATTTTTCAATGGAGCAAAACTTAAAAGTTAAATATATTATTATAATAAATACCGTAAGGTATATATAGACGTTTGGCTTGGCAACCATAGTTTTGCAGCCAATTTTTTTCTTTTTCTTCAATTATGTTGTTTATTTTGAACTTGGCTCATTATAAAAAGTCCCGACATCTAGAAACGAATTCAAAAAAGATCCTCTTTACACGACCATTTCAGAAAAAAAAATCCGTATTACGAAGTTTGTTACATAAACGTATACTAGTCTCAAATCGTCTGGATTCCAAATAAGAACCCACTTTTTTTTGGAATTTGGAACTTCATTACAAACAAGCCTTTGAATATTATATTCTTTAAAAACATCATTCTTAATTCGTGAGGTCAATAGAATTTAGAATTGCATCAAATAAAGACAACAAACAAAACTTTTAACATTGCCGACATTTATTTTTATCTTATTATTCTTATTAACAATGTACTTGTTCGAAATCAAATGTAGTGAGTACAAAAACAACACAAGCGCATTTGATGATGCATTTTGAACGCAATGAAAGAAGTACTGTGAATGAAATTGGGTCGGAGCGTTTTGTAAGCCAAGTCGTTTATTAAATATTATTAGGCTAGCGTTTAATAAATGATAATAAAATACACCTCCCGGTTTATTTCGAGGTACTTAAAATCTAGGTGACTGTATTAAACAAACATATCCGATCATACGCCGATTTTTCGTATAGGTATTCAAAATAGTCGCGTGTAATGGTGAAATACTTTCACGCCAAAAAATTTTTTTGAACGTACACGCGTCTATTGACGTATTTCAATTCAAAAAAAAGTTCAACAGTTTTATTCGCATCGTCTCTGCCAAGTTCGACTAAAAATATGACTTTAATATGCGAAATATGCGCTGCGATTTATCGAACTTTTATTATTTCATTATGCCATCGGGAATTCGATTGTATTGTTTAATTTGATAACGCGATTTCGGGATTTGCCCAAATATATGTAGGATTTTCGGCGCGAATAAACACAATTTGCATGCCGTAATTGCCTAGCTATTTTTACACCTGCATATTTCGACCAATGTACTATTATTAGCAGCGTATACCTAGTTGTTTACAAACAAAACCCCAATTCGAAGAGTAATTTACTTTTTGATATGATACTGAAATTTTGCAATCAAAGCGACGATTTTGAGCGAAGCATTTGACGCAAAAAGCGTCCAATAATTCCCCATATTACTTTTAACACTGCTCTATTTGCCATGATATTAGTAGGTATTGAAAATATCAAAGATAAAAGCAAATAAACATTTCATTTAAAACAGTTTAACTGATTGTAAAAATTTCTATTATAGGTAGTTTCTTTTGCGGGAATGCGAAGTTATTCCTGCAATGCAGGAGTTTCGTAGAGACGACCGAATTCGCTTTTAACTCGCATTTTGTAATACCTCTTCCTGTCCGATTCTTTCAAACGCAACGCGTTTTATAAATAGCGTTCTTCCTAACGGGGCGCCATCGGAATACGCATAATTTCTGAAAATATTTTTAAAAACCGTATCTTAAGTGTCCCATTATTTTTACGCTGGAGTTCGATCTCTTCCGTGTACATTCTTCACTATTGAGTTCAATTTCGAAATATTTTTTTGTGTGAAATAAAATAGAACGAAATTAATTTATGGATTCCTTGTTGGATATTATTTTACTGCTAATCGCCTAATTTATTAGTTTCTGTTCCACTGTACTACTTATTTTTTTCACACTTATCTGTACTATAAACAAATCCTATATTTGTACACCCTATAACACAAGTAGATACTTTTTATTTTTAAATATTAATTGCAATAAAAGTACCTACTAAAGCTTTTCTAATTAATTCGATATTTTCTGCAACATTACGACTATTTCCTGCCGCAATGTTGCATTGTTTACGGTGCAATCTGGGACAGCGCATCAAAAACATTTGGAATAAATTGAGACACGTGTCTTCATTTGATTATGTGAAATGTTTGCGTCTTTGCGTTACAAAGACGAAGGGATATATTTTCAGCTCGGATTTCTCCAGTTTGAAAATGGACTGGAATTATGATGGAATAAAAGTCGAATGTTAATTGAGGCATAATCCAATTTTAGATCGTTTCGTTATATAATTGCATTATCGGAATTTTTATACGGTGAGCTTTGAAGATTTTTTTCAAATTTTTGCTTAAAATTACTTTCATGGAAAAACATTAATACTATCTATTGAAAAATCGACTTAAAAATTTAACCAAATGAATAACTAAAAAAAAACAAACTTAATTAATCAAAAAGTAGACTTAAATTAGAGGTAGGTATCCAAATAAATCCAAATGTGTTCAAAAAAATTCATCAAAACGACACTCACTTCTAACTCTTCTTCGTTACTTTCTTATAATTAACAACATTTTTTATTAATCACTGTGTAAACTCATCATGCAAAATCTACATATATTGCGTTCAAATATTTCATCCCGTGACGTTATCGCTAAATTAACCCGAATTTCAGATCTCCTCTATCGGCAAACGCTGACGTTGAACAATTCGGCGCTGGAAGTGGAAATCGTGGACGTTTGCAGTTGCGACCTGAAGACCTTCCCGGAGGAGGCCATCCACTGGGCCGACGCCTGCATGGTCGTCTACGACATCACCTGCCAGAATTCCTTCAAGCAAGCCGGCGACATGTTGCAGAGAGCGCTCAATCTCAGGAGCAACATGCCCACGGTGTTGCTGGGCAACAAAGCCGATCTCGAGCATTTAAGACAAGTGAGTAATTTTTACTGCGTTTTTTATGATATCAAGAGAGTAATATCGAAAGTAGATTTGTACCCCAAAAAGTGGTGTTTATATTATTGATCCTTGTCCCTGTATTTTCTTAACATTGAAAAGGTGTAAGTTAATCGAACGAGGCGAGTTTATGAATTAAAAATTTTTACTCCAGCAAATGATTTACATCGAATTAGCTGTTATGCGAGTGTTTATCGTACGATCGAGTAAACGTTTTTAATGAATTAAAACGTTCAAAGCCGAGCATCGGAGATTTTTCATTGAACGTTTTATTTTTAAAGAGCTACACAATGTCAAATGCCATTGAATACGTGTACCTACACGACGAAGATTCGTCCCGGCGACAGGTCGAAATCGCGCCGATTTTTTTCGTATTCGCGCGAACAAACAACGGGCGGAGATCAACAAACTGTTCGCGATTCATTTCGTTTTTCCAATGCTCTATCCGTCAATCACTTTCAACAATCGAAGGAAACGGGCGACGAGCGACCGCTATTTTTCGTCCGAACGCTCGTAAATCAAAGGAAATCGATCGTAGTTAGTGGATTTTAAAAATTTAATACGGACATAAACAAAATTATGGGTGAAATATTCGGCGGCTTAACCCAATTTTACGCGCTCGTTATTTAAATTATTTACACGTTCGGATGTAAAGAAAATTTATCGCCGGCTTTCCTCTTGATTAACACAACAGGACGTTGTCGATATTTGGTTAATTTTTTTTACCATAAATTACAATTAATTAGATACCAAGAATGCTTAATAGGTATACATTACCTTACCTGTTTATTTAATATTGCATTTAAACTATGTAAAGAGCGTTATTTACAAGTTAATAATTCCGTTCGGTATAATCAAATGGAGCAAATGGAGCAGAAACGGAGATCATAAATCGAACGGAAGCGATAAAGAGTTTAAGTCAGTGTCTGAAAATAGGCTGGGTGTTAGCAATAAAAACATGTCGAAATCGATTTTGAATGTTTCTTGCATTGCCGACACCAGTACTTTGTCTTCTTGTTGCACTCTCTACGAACAGGTATTCAAAATAAACGGTTGGTTACCCGGTTGCTATTTTAACGGCAGGAATTTCGTTTACCTGCACAATGTGATCGATAATGCATGGAAAACGGGACCGCTTTTCCGCAATTCGCTGCGCTGAAAGCCTACCGGTTCCCTAATCATCAACAAATATAAACGCATAAACTAATCTATTTAAGAGTACATTGTACCGCAGCTAAAAAAATAGCTACCATTGCATACTTCATTAATAATTTAAAAGAAAAATACAAGTAAAGGAGAACAAAATCAACTCTTTTATTTTAGTCTTGTAAGTTCTACAAATCTGAAATAAAAGAGAAAATACGTAGACAATTTTAGAGTTAATTTTTTAAAAAAATAGCAAGCACCACATAAATTTAATTTTATTGTTCCAGGTGGAGGAATTGGACGGTAGAACGTTGGCAGTGCAGAATAATTGCCAGTTCTTCGAGGTGTCGGTGGCGGAGAATTCGTCCGCGATATACACGGCGTTCGATTCGGTATTGAACGATTGCCGTTCGATACAATCGTCGCATAAAACGCGGAAGTTTTCCGTGTCGAAGATGATCGGTACTTTGATCGGGACCGGCAACAACAAGGCGCCCAACGCGAACCAAGGCGGCACCGTCGTCGTTTGCCACAAATCCGATTTGTACAAGTCGAGAGTGCTCAGGAGGCGGCAGAACTTCACGGCCACCGCCTCCCTTTGACTATCGACCAAAGACGAGTTGGACGCACGGTAATTTTGTTAATTTTTTTTTGGGTCTGATTTTTCTGTCGCGCTCGGAATTTTGTTCGATTTTCGAGGGTCTTTTGTTCGTCTCTCAGTTTTATGAGGGATTAGATGTTATTTTGTGATTGCGATGGTCGAGTTTTTACTTTTTTTATTATCGAAATATGTCTGTTAGGTTTCGTATATCATGTTCAAGAAGAAGGACGTGCGGTTAGATAATTTATGAGAAAATGAAGTTTTTATTTCGTCGATCAAATCGATGATTGATGTGGATTTGTTCGCGTGTCCTTCGTCTTGTTAGTCAATTAGAGTATTTGAGATTATTTACAACCGGCAGAAATGTATTTTTTGTTATAAACTCATTCAATATTAGGGATATCGATATGAAATCGATTCATAAAATACGTATCAAATTTAAATTTCAATTCGCCGATTACAAATTCGATATTCCTATAAAATACTAATATTCATAGCCAGTCTATTTACTCTATTAGATAGCTTCATAGAAACGTTTCCCGAGATAGATATCTATTCATTCACATGTGATCTATAAATACACTGTTTAATTTTCACTACTGTTGAAATATATTTTCATTATTAAGCGTGCATTTCCCGAAATATCCTGTTAAAAAACGCTTTCACAGTAGTGAAATACAATCATTGTGTTAGTCGGTAGATAATTCATTATTCTCTGCATTGTATTGGATAAATGTTTAGTAGAAAATTTCAAATTGAAATTCTGGAGTTGATTTACACTCGCATCTTATTTTTGTCAAGATTGAATTTGTTAAGAACTTTAGGTTTTATAGGCATGAATTTATAAATATAACGTTTTGTAAATATTTTTGCAAAATTTAGATCTCCCTATTTTTATTACATATGTTTTCAAATGAATCAAAGGCCGGCTTTTTTGAACAAATTCGATCTAATTTGTCCGAATTAATAACGTCTTATTTGTAAACAGCCGGCCTGTTGGAATATTTTGTACCATAAATTTTGAAAATATTTCTTCAACTTGATAGGAAAAAATAAATAACCGGGCGATTTTCATGCATAGGAAAGGAAAACATTTTTATTATTTGTAAAAATTAATATAGTGGCTGTGATTGTCTAGTCGAATAATTTTAAATAATTATTAAAAGTACTTTTCAATAAGTAAACCAAAGAAAAGAGATTATTTTTAAACTGATTTTGGATTTATTAATTGTGTAAACTAAATTAAATTTCTTTACCACAATTTACAAAATTTAACTTTTGGTTACAATGAAAGATTTTAAAAGTGTTTTCCAGTTTTTGTACAACTACCGCATATTTACAAAAGTATAAATATTCCATGGTTCTATTACGATATATTTTATCTACAAATTCTTTAATAGGAATGTAGAACATAAAATTCTATATTCTTGTTGCTGATGTAAATCATCTAATAATTGTCTATAAAATGATTGTAGTAAAATTTGTAATGTAGGTACTTATCTAATTGCGAATTATTCGCTTTTTAACAGATGAGTGTATTATGTGTGTATGGTGTATTAAAGAAAAGGCTGTGATACAAATCGTATGATTTTTTTATATTATCTATGTGTAAGGAAAACTTGTATTTAAAATTAGACTTATGTTGAAAATAAATTTATATTGTTTATTAAACTGACTATTATTTTTCACCCTAAACATTTTAAAATAATTTAACAATATGCAACAAGACGTTCAACAATTTAACTATTAAACATTCTTTATAATAAAGAACTTAATTAATGATAGCAACATCTTATTAAAATGGGTTAAACGTGTTGCCTATGCAGCAGTAACAGCTCACATATTATAACTGTGGCATCAAGTCATTCGTGACCTGTCAAAGTCAAAAAAGAAGAATTTGTTGTGATGGCGATGACATTGACACTTACCATAACCTCAACATTTAACTGTAACAGATTGCAGTGAATTGCATCAGCTTTTTCAATTAATCTAACCGAAAATGGTTTTGGATTTAGATTTGTTCCGTTCGGATAAAGGCGGAAACCCCGATCTAATAAAGGAGATCCAAAAGAAGCGGTACAAAGATGTAAGTTTAGTTGACAAAGTGATCGAAAGGGATTCCACATGGAGACAGCTCCGGCACAAAGCGGACAACTGGAACAAATTGAAGAACGTTTGTAGCAAAGCCGTCGGGGAGAAAATGAAGAAGAAAGAGCCCCAAGGAAGCCCCGACGAAGCCGTTCCCGAAAATGTCGTATCGAATCTAGAAAATTTAACCGCAGATTTACTTAAACCGTTAACTGTAAATCAAATTAAAAAGGTACTTCCTACAAGCATCAAGCTTTACAGTTCACATTAATAACAACTTCTTTTAGGTAAGAGTACTAATAGACGAGGCCGTGATAAACAACGATAACGAATTAACGAAAACCGAAAAAGAAAGAAACGAAGCTTTAAAGGAAATCGGAAACCTCCTGCACGAATCTGTTCCTGTAGATGACGACGAAGATCACAACAAAGTCGAAAGAACATTCGGAGATTGTACGATAAGAAAAAAATACTCTCACGTAGATTTAATAGTAATGATCGACGGTATGGACGGAGACAGAGGAGCTGCCGTCTCAGGAGGTCGAGGCTACTACCTAACTGGCCCGGCGGTATTCTTAGAGCAAGCTTTAATCCAACTGGCATTGAGGACATTGCACAAGAAAGGATACAAGCCGATCTACACGCCGTTCTTCATGAGGAAAGAGGTCATTTATTAATATTATTTAGTGTACGAATAATATACAAACTAGTCTCTTTGCGTAGGTTATGCAAGAGGTAGCTCAATTGTCGCAATTCGACGAGGAATTGTACAAAGTGATCGGCAAGGGTAGCGAAAAAGCGGACGAGAAAGAAGTGGAGGAAAAGTATTTGATCGCCACATCGGAGCAACCGATCGCTGCTTTCCACAGGGACGAGTGGATAGCCGAAGGCTCTCTACCTATCAGATACGCGGGAATGTCGACTTGTTTCAGACAGGAAGTCGGCTCTCACGGACGCGACACTAGGGGTATTTTCAGAGTGCATCAATTCGAGAAGGTACATTTTACTTTATTAAATTTATTAAAGCTTGTATTAAGCGTTTATTATGAATTACAGGTGGAACAATTCTGTTTGACGTCACCGTTCGACAACAAATCTTGGGAAATGATGACCGAAATGATAGGAAACGCTGAAGAGTTCTACCAAGCTTTAGAAATACCATACAGAATCGTGAATATCGTTTCAGGCGCTTTGAATAACGCTGCGGCTAAGAAGCTCGATTTGGAAGCTTGGTTTCCGGGTTCAGGGGCTTTTCGAGAACTGGTATCGTGCAGTAATTGCTTGGATTATCAAGCTAGGAGATTGCTGGTGAGGTACGGGCAAACCAAGAAGATGAACGCTACTACTGATTATGTGCACATGTTGAACGCCACAATGTGCGCCGTGACTAGAGTGATTTGCGCCATTTTGGAGAACAACCAGACCGAAACGGGCGTTAGAGTTCCGGTACTGTTGAGAGATTACTTGCCCGAAGAGTACCGAGATGAGATCCCGTTCGTGAAACCCGCTCCGATTGATTTGGAGAAGGATTCGAAGAAAGCGAAAAAGCAGAAAGATGGCATGAAGAAAGGCGGTGGAGAAGAATAAGCGCATTTTTTTATTATTATCAATTATACTTATCGGCTTTGTATTGCATTTATTAATTAATTTATTAATAAAAGTAATGGAATATTACGGGCATTTTAATTGATTCAGTCAATATAGATTTGCCTATTTTGCATTAACTCATTATTTTATATTTAGTAATTGCATAATTTGAACGTAATCTCCCTGACTAATACATATTATTGGATATAGTACGAGAGATTCGATTCAAAGAAGTATGATTCATCCCTAATTTGACCAAATTTTGTAATAAAGGTACTGGAATAATGTAGGTACTAATTGCTTTTTTTGTGAGTCCTTCGATGTAGTTATACCTATTCTGTACATTATTAACTTACCCTGATCTATTTGGTATATTGCAAAAATTTGAACATAATCTTCCTGACTAATGCATGATATTTTGCTGGATATAGTACGAGGGCTTCGACTAAAGTACGATTCTTCATTTTAAAAGATTAACTATGAAAGTGGACACAACATGGCTGTGTATTTTAGAATGATTACGCTATTATATTGCAATAAAGACATTGATTATTTAATGGTATAATTATGCAGAGAGCAAGTAATTATACCTAGTTATTGAACTAGAATTTCTATTTAAATCAGAGCAATTATACATATAATTCTGCTCCACTAAGACTTAGTGTTAATAATAATAGGATAAATGGCCCGGAAATAGTCGTGTAGTATAAAATGACTCATCTCCCAAGAATATGCGACAATAAAAATGTTATTCGTTCGCAGTTAATAAATATAAGCAAACTTACCATAATTCTATAGAAGAGACTGAAAATCTTCCGTCATAGATTTATGAAGCACTCAAATACAAGCAAGAAGAGTTTGGAGAGTTTCAAGGGATTTTTGCCTTCATAAACTGAAAGAAAAAATAAACTAACATAAATCAATTCAGCGATTTTTTTTTAATTAAGATTTATTAATTTTGATCATCTATTAAAAAGAAATAAGGAGGTACAAATCGCAGAGTAAAAATTATAACGATAGAGTATAAGATAAAACAAGCAAACGTATCAAATTTTCGATACAATTTCTCGAATTAAACCCGACGGAGCGACTTCGCAGCCCCCCTTACATCATCGATTATAATTCCCCAAAAGCTACGAAACATCATCAAAACTCCGATCTCCGACGTTTGCACATTATGTATTTGTATAGCGGAGTTTTCCTTTTCGCATCCACTGTGTAAGCCACTCGTCGAAGGACCCCACGACGACAGCGGAGGTCTCCGCATCCGCCGCATCCCTCCCGTATTGTAACAGGATGTTGGTCGTCCTTATTGGGCGTCTCATTTCCACTTTTCGGTACAACATGACAATTGAATCTCAACCAGATCGATATACATACAGATTGACTCTCGATGTTAATGCATTATAGCGGGCGGTAAAGATGGGAAATGGAAGTGGAAATGAAAATGGTTTCGTAATTGCTGTTTTTATTTATGCGGTCGGTCCGTCGGGATTGCATTATTTATTGCTCGGGAGCGTGTAAATTTCGATGTAAGGAATAATATCGGGCGTGTGCGGCGAGTCGCGGTGCGTATAAAGTAATCGTTTTCGCCCATCTCGTTGTCGGGTGGAAGAAATCGCGTTTGGGGGATGCGAAAGTAGAGGGAAAACGGTCTCCGACAGACGTAAATATTATGGCTGGATTCCTGCGAAGGTGTCGATGCGGAGCCTTTTTTGTTGGCCTTTTATTCGAATGTATCATTTTAGGAATATTCGCGATTCCCGTAGAATGCTTTTTAATGGATTTTTAAATTGAAATCGACATTTTGGGGGAGTTTTATCTTAATAACGTGCAATGATATAAAGTGAACAGATAAGGTACATTCTAAACTCTAAAATCACCGTAAAAGCTACAAGAAAAAATATTTTAAAACCTCCAACAGGAGCGCCCTGTACAACCTACTTACATTTCGGTTCCACGTCATTTTTTATTCCAACATCAAATTGGATTAAAACACCCTCATTCTGTTTTCGTTCCCCGTAGGAAATATTCTAATGCAATTTAAGCGTTCGCAAAAGCGTGCACTTGTTGCTTAACAGCTTTTTACAGTGACAAATAGTCCATGAAAACGTAATAATCAAGTTATAGATGTAGAAAACGGTTCTAAAAAGTAATGGATTTTCGAAGGAACCCATCATGGCTTATTGTGTTTAGTTTGTGATGAAAATGTAATTAACTATTAGTGTAGATGTCGGGAATTTGAAGTTATGGTAGTTGATAGTAACGAAGAAGTGATGACTTGGAAGAAGTAGAGGGATATTGTTAAGTTTTTTCGTAAAGTTAGAGAAATTTCCAATTATAGTGAATTTTTTTTGTATTAAAATGTAACTTATTTTAATTGAAAAAGTGACTTAAAAACGCACTTAAATACTGTAAAGAAACCACCTTAAATCCAATCTAAAATATTTATTATGTATACACTAATCATTATCCTCACGTCTTCATTATTACGTCCTTATCCAAAATTCTGAAAAAAAAACCAACCCTCACTCCGGCAAACGTACACCCTACATTAGATTCGAATCCGGTTGATAGAGCCCTCCTTATCACCAGCGGGAATGAGGCCCTCATTCCAATCCCATTGTATTTGGTCCTCCCGGTAGTTTACTCCCAACCTACTACTGCTATTACACACACACAATCTCACACACACACACACACACCAAACACACCGTTCGCATCCTGCCGTTGCCGTGCCATTCCCGTTCTGTCGTGCGGTATCTCCGCAACATCTCTTCTGCCGGGGCCGAGCGATCGCGGATCCACGATCATTCATCGCGTGCGGCTACGACGCGAAGGACTTCGACAGAGATCCTTCCGAGATTCGCTTGGACTTTTTTCGGACTTCTCTCGGCCGGTGGCGATTTTCCGGTCGAATCGGGCGGAAATTTCCCGTGGCATCGCGGCGAGTGGAGTCGACTCGATCGAAAAGGGCGCAAAAAGGGCCGTCAGAATCGCGTTTCTGGTTTAGACGCGCTCGATTGGTCGCGACGCGTCGTTGTGATTTTTTTCCGTGAGGGCTGCTGGTGGCCGGAGAGCGGGCTTTCGAGGCCGGAAAGGGAGCTTTTGAGCGCCGGAGAGGTTGGTTTTCTTCCGGAAGAAGCATGAATTTCGAGGAGTTGGTCGCGTTGGTTTTGCCGCTCGTTGTTTTGGTAAGTACATCCCTTTATAATATACGTTTAATAGTTACCGATTGATTGATTGATTTACTGGTTCATTGAAGGTTATTTTTAAAGGAGGCGGGAAAACCGTTTTCTGAAACTCGCCTAAAAATACCTTATAAAAAATGTTTGAGAATGAATTGAATTTTACTGTTATGGAAAATAGTAATTTTCCATTAATAAGCATATTCTTTTTTTTACATTTACTTTTTATTACAATTTTCTTAATGGGTAAGTAATAATTTGAGTTTTATATTTTATAATGTATAAACTTTTAATAAAACCCAACAAAAAAGTCCAAGGAAGTTTCTCGAGTATTTCAGGCCAAAGCAAAGTTGAATGAAAGAATAAGAGGAAAATGTTGATAAGATAAAACATAAATTAAAATAAAACTAATAGTACAATATTTTAATTTCAATTTACTTAAAATTATAGTGATGAATGTATAAGGGAAACTTTTTCCTATCTTTAAAAGTTTAGAAAATGCTTATGTACATTGATAATAGTTTTTAATAACTTTGAAATTTCCTATGTATCAAACGGAATTGATTATTATTTAAAATAACATAATGTCTAAATAAATCTAAAAACTTTGTCCCATTTGAATCGAACTTCAAACACCCACAGTAACGCCTTACAACTTCAATCTAACTTAAATTAATTTTTTGCAATAACTTTTATCCATTTTTTAAATAATCGATACATTTACAACATTTACCAATTTAATTTTCTGCTTATTTAGAAACCACTCAAGGGGAAATAATCCGAGCGCTTCTCTTTTCGAATTTCATACCTGTGCGTAGGCGAAAAGGTGTCCGATGAACACAATTCATCCGGAATTACTCTATTTTCTATTCGATATCCACACGAATTCTGGTATTTTATCAAAAGAAAAAAAAAGAGACAGATATTTTTTCTTAGCGAAGAATACACTTAGTTCAGGTAAAACTGGCTGTTTACTTTTGTTCCTTTTGTTTGCAGATGGAACGAGAAACTTCCATTTCGCTCGAAAAGCCATACGTGTTTGTTTTGAAACGACGAACTTTATATACATACAGGGCGTTTGTGAATTCCTCAATTATGAATGAGAATACTAAGAGAAAAAGTATCAAAACGCGCTTCTATTAATGCACCTTATTTTAAACAAGTAACCAATCAATTGCTGTGACTTTATAGTTTCCTGAAACGCGCGAAATTTGGAATAAACATAGTAGGTAATCGAGCGTAAACCGTGTGTCCAAAAAAACGAAAATTCGACCGAGAAACTTAAAATTCGCCCATTTAGTAATAGTTTTACAGTTTTTTTATTGCGCGGATAATAATGGTCAGTAAACATTCCAGGTTAGGTGTACGATTAAACGGCCACAAATATGTGGTTTATCGTAGGATTTGATCCGCTATTTGAAACGGCACCTACTCGTTCTTTTCTCGTTTCTCGTCTTGTCTCTGGTACACTTAAAAAAATAGCCGCAGTTTTACCTATCGCAATCAGGAAATTTCATTCGGTCCGAACAAACAAATTACTTACCAACATTATTTTAATAAACCGCCATTCATCATCAGGACGTATCGAATTCGATACCCGTAAGAATGAATGCTTAATCAAGTTTATTAAATTCTCATATTACTTGCACATTTTTTTTTTCGTATTTAGTAGGTACGTACGTACTTAAAAATATTTGTATATCACGTTCGATTCCTTATAAAGAAAAACTAAACATATTCCACGCATTCAATCAACGATCTGATTACCCTATTGTACCAGCGAAACGGTAAAAATTAACTTTACCTACTAGCTATAAAAGAACATACGCCGGCTCAAGTAATTTAGTTATTATTCTAAACACTCGAGATCCTCTAATAAAGTTTCGCATAAAAT